TGTAGATACTCCTGGACCTCTCAGCAGCTTTTGATACCATACCATTAATCATGGTATCCTTTTGGATTGTCTATTCGGACTGGGATTGGGAGGCACCATTCCGCAGTGGTTCTGGTCCAAAATGGAGGGTAGGCTTCAGAAGGGGGGGGCTGCTGCTCAGCCCCTTGGCCTTTGGTCTATATGGTCCTGTGAGGTTCCATCTTGTCCCCTACACTCTTTAACATCTACATGAAACTGCTGGGTGAGCTCATTTGGAATTTTGGTTTGGCCTGTGGATGATATCTCGTGCTTCCAGCTGATCCTGTGCAGGTTGTAGAAACCTGGAAATGGTGCCTGGAGGCAGTTTTGGAGTGGATGCGGGATAATAAATTGAAGCTTAATCCCAACAAGATGGAAGTGCTACTGGTAAGTGGAAGATCTGACCTGGGATTTAAGGTGTTACCCATTCTGGATGGGGCTGCATTCCCCTTGAAGGAAAAAGCCCGTGTAGCCCGGTACCCATTCTGGATGGGGCTGCATTCCCCCTGAAGGAAAAAGCCCATGTAGGGTGCTCTTGGACCCAAGCTTACTGCTGGATAAGCAGGTGGCAGGAGTGCTTTTTACCAGCTTCAAATGGTTAGCCATCTAAGGACTTTCCGGGGCAGAGAAGATCAAACCATTGTGGTTCATGTGCTGGTTACATCTAGATTGGATTACTGCAATGCACTCTGTGTGGTGTTGCCCTTGAAAAGTTGTCAAAAACTTCAGTTGGAACAGAATGCTGCAGCCAGGATGCTGACTAGAGTGAGCTATAGGGACCATATCCCTCTAGTCTTGGCCCATCTGCACTGGCTCCCAATTTGCTTGCAGGCACAATTCAAGGTGCTGGTGTTGACCGTCAAAGTCTTAAGGCTTGTGACCAACACACCTGAAGGACTACCTAATCCTCTATGAACCCATCTGACCAGTATGGTCATCTTTGGAGGCCCTCCTTTGGGTGCTCCCACCTTCTGGGGAGTAACTCAGGAGAGGGCCTCCTGTCATGGCCAAAGCTCTGGAGCTCTCTCCCCAGAGAGATTCGTCTTTTTCTGTTGCCTTCTTCTGCTAGTGAGCAAAGACCTTTTTGCTTCATTTGGCATTCCCTCAGTGTTCCATCCTTCCTAACCAATCTTATATCTTGAATGTATTTGTACTTTTTGAATTGTTTTGATGATGTATATTTGGGATGTGTGATTTTAATGATTTTAAAATGGGATTTTATCATGTATGTTTTAAATTGTTAGCTCCCTTGGTGGCCTTTGTAAGAGCAGAAAGGCATGATTCAAATTTTCTCAGTTTTCAATATCTTTCAAGAGCCTTTCTGTTTCTTTGGCAATTTTTTCAGTTTTATAGATCTTTGTGAAATTCTTGATTAGTATTACCGGGGGGGGGGGGGGGGGGGGGGGTCCCCATGAATTTTTTCAAGTTCCCCACAACAGACACCCCATGAGGTAAGTGGGGCTGAGAGAGCTCTTTCCAGAACTGTCCTTGAGAGAACAGCTCTGGTCAGAACTATGACTTGCCCAAGGTCATCCAGCAGTTGTAAGTGGAGGAGTGGGGAATCAAACCCAGTTCTCCCAGATTATTTTATATATTTATCTTATTTTATTTAATTTGTATCCCGCCCTCCCAGCCATGGCAGGCTCAGGGTGTCTTACAGAATATATATAAATATTAAAATAACAAGATATGTTAAGACAAAAAAGTTAGATTAAAACCACAACATATAAAATGCAGATTTCAAGGAACTTAAATATTATTAAAAGATGGCAGAGTTCTCTCAACATCCAAGCTCTGGCAAACAAGCAGGTCTTGCAGCACCTCCTGAAGAGGTCTGCATGGAAGGGGTTCCTCACTTCTTCAGGGAGCCCATTCCACAGAGTTGTAGCCACAGTGGAAAAGGACTGAGCTCTGGTCAATGCTAGATGGGTCACCCGAAGTAGTGGGATAACCAACAGATGGCTGCCTGATGATGTGGCTGTTGCACAGAGACACATGGAAGGTGAAGCCTTCAAATATGTAGGTCCCAGATCATGAGGGGCTTTAAAGGTCATAACCAGCACCTTAAATTGGACTTGGAAATAGACTGGCACCTGCATTCTGGATCAGCTGTCATTTCTGGGATGTCTTTGAGGGTACCCCCATGTAGAACATGTAGTAATCCAACCATGAAGTTACAGAATTTTGCATTCTGGATCAGCTGTCATTTCTGGGTTGTCTTTGAGGGTACCCCCCATGTAGAACATGTTGTAGTAATCCAACCATGAGGTTACAGAATATGAACTATTTTCAAACTATTTTCAAAGACTGCAGGGATACATGACAGGAAACAACAGATAACAAGTACGAAGGATGGCAAATGAAGAGGTTTCAGAGAAAGGTGATTTTTTTATTGTCAGTCAGTCACCGTAATGTTACATAAAAACGGATGCAAAAAGGATTTTTAAAAAATGCTGGTGGTCTCCTGCTGGACTGCTGCAATTTCCCACCCACAGCAATCAGTGGAGAGAAGTGTGCCTGCACCAAATGGCACCTACTCTGGAAATCTGTAAAATTAAACCCTTTTGTTCATTCTGCTTGAAACTTAAGAGGGTGGACTATGTTCTGTGGAAACTTGGTGCCATTATCTTTAAAAACAGCTGCCCCTGACCCTTGAACTTGTTCCTCATTGAAAATAATGGTCCTGAAATTGTAGAACCTGAAAACCCCCCCTCCACAGATTTGAATCCTGAAGTGGTAATGTCTTATCTGAAAATCAGCAATCATGGTAAACATTTTCCCTGCCAAATCCCAGATCTAAAATAATAATTTTTTCCCCCAGAGCACACCCCTACTCCACATCTCTCCAAAATTAAATATACTTTCCTATACACATGTGTGCTCAACTTTCATATAAAGAACCAACCCTTCAAGTTTTCAAATGCTAAAGCTCTAAAATTCAGATTGCATATCATTTAAAGGGATAACATTTTATAGTACTGTGAAGCACTTTACATAAAAAGGAAACTGAAGAAACTTATATAAAGAAGGAAAAGGAGAAACGAATTAAAAAACAATAACTTAGTCATAAACTGCTGTACAAAGACCACCCAAATTACAAATAGGCATCAGTGTGCCTTTAAAATAATTGGGTAGGAATACTATTTTATGTCCATAGAAATGTTCATAATTTCTTCTCAACTTCTTTGCAGGAAGACTATTCACCTTGTATACAAATTAAAAAGAGAAGGATGCGTTCAGGAGAACATTATGTGCCACTGCAATTCCAGTTCATTAAAATTGTCATGACTTTTTACATGAATCTTAACTGAACACAGAATGCAATCCATTGTTTTCAGTACTTGGTACTGATATTCAAGAGTTCATGAATGAATAAATCTAACTTTTTATAATAAATGATAGAGACAAAGGGTGGAATCCAGAGGGTTATATCGTTGCCATGCAACAGAACATTTCTTAGGGTCCTCTTCCCACTACCAGACTTCACGCTCCCTGAAAAGCTAATTCTAAAGGTTGAGGGTTCCTCTGTATTCAATGCAGTGCAAAGAACTACAGTCAGAAAGCAAAATCAGCAAAACACCCCCCCCCCCAAGCTTCACGCTTTGCACTGGGTTGTTTGTATCCTGGCCAGCACATTTCAAAATAACATCCTTAAAAAAGAAAATAGGGACAGGTCGAAAATTAATGATTCATTCATGGACAATTTCATTTCTACAGTATATGGAAAACTATCAAAATTGCAATTATGAAGAACTTTTAATGTAGAAGAGCCACAACTTCAGAAAACCCACTAGCTTTACATTTTAATCATGATACCTTAAAATGCCTTCAAGAATTCATTAAAAACAAATACTGTGATATAACTGGCCGACACAGGCTTTAAATTAAATTGCTCTATCAATTTCAAATGCACCTTTGTCAAAATGTAATTGTTTCAATTAAATTGCTGTGCATTCATTGACACTGAGTAATAAGCCGTATTTATAAGGCTTTAGCTTTTAAGACTATATACTGACAAGGAAATTCAAATAATGATTGGTGCACTGAAACAAGACCAATCATTGGATCTTTATCAATATCTGAGGTTCTCTAATAGCATTTACAAATGTGCTAGACATTATGCTCAGTGAACAATTTGGAAAAAAACCCCTTTGTTTCAATTTTCTCCCCACCACCTTACTAAAAAAATACAGTCATATGTTGATATTAGGAACTGTGATCAAATCAACACTACTAAAAGCAATCCAGAGTACATGTTCATCAGTGCAAATCACACACATGGACACTCACTTATCCAAGCACTTATTCTTAATAAAGATAATTTAACAAATTATTATCTGATGATTACCTATCAAAGGAAGTTTCATTTTTAAAAACGTGATCTCAAATGTGCAGGTTTCTAAGTAACCTTATGATGGATTACATGAAATTACTTGGGTAAATTTCTGATTTAGTTGAAACCAAGATGGTGTCTATTCTTACTATGCCTTAAAACCACACAGTTTGAAATCTGAAGCTTAGGTTTCCAAATGTAGTCACTGTTACTTCTCTTGTAAAGATGAGATCACACACTTCCAGTGTGTTTTTAAGAAATCCTAAAACCACAGTTCCTAGCAGCATTTTTCCAGCAAGTCATTTGCAGGCAAGGTATCAATTTAGACTGCAAATGGACTTTAAGATATAGCTGATCAATACTGAAATAAAAAAGTCTTTGACACTGTGATGAGAAAGATAAATTCAAATTGTGACAAATATACTGAGCCTGACATGTATCCAATAAGAATACTGTCAATGACCACAGCTTGGGGCAGCAGAGCAACTACTGTCCCACCCCCTGTACATTCTTCTACGTTTAATATTTTAGCTGGTCTTGCGAACCATCAGCTATCTTAATTTAGGGGAAAGCAGCATAAAGTTGCAACAGGGAACCAAAAATTAAAAAAACCCTTCTTTTAAAACGGCATTCAAAAAATTCAAGGCACTTAAGACAAAAATTCTTTCTCCAGTTCATATATTGATGGCCGACATGATTTACCCTTCATTCTGCACAAAGGCACTGTACAATCTCTGTTCTGACCCTCAACATCAATATCAAGTAATGAGGGCATGTGGGATTTAGTTCTCTCCTCCGTATCTGTTAACGAGTTAACCCTGGAACCTCTATCACCCTCTAAATGATCCATTTCAAAAGGGCTTGTCTTCACACTTTGCGACACAGCCTGCCAAGGATCTAGACGGCTTCTTAAAGAAGAAGGTCGAGGTCTTGGTATAATATTGACAGTTCCTTGCTTTTCCGGAGACGCATCGCTGGAGAAGTTTCTTTGTAAGATTAATGGAACAAGTGGAACTTCAGGGACACCATTAGCTAGGAGGATGAGAAAAGGATAAAGAGAATATCACAACAATCATCTATCTTATGATAGTGTAGTAATGTTAAGCATAAAAGACAAAGGGGCCCACAAGGCCCCTGCACAAGCAGAAAGCATTTTGCTTGTACACAGGGGAAGGGGAGTAATACTCATTTCTTCAGCTGAAGCTTCTGAAATACATCCCATGGCATTCCAGAAGATCACTTGACACTCAGGAGTGGTTTTTGGCAGGAAGGGCTGCAGAAGATTGCAGCAAGAAGGAAGGGGGAAAGCCCTACTCTTTTGAATAGAGCTCCTGTTATAGTTCTTAGGATCCAACTCAATGACTTGAGCTACAGAATCCTAGACACTGCCAAATTACTAAAAAAAATCCCCAAGGAGGGGCTGTGACAGAAGACTGGAGCTAGGGCATCTTACATGTTTTTTTCTTGTGTCATAAATATAAACAGATGAAATAGTGTGGAATGGGAGATATAGCCACAGTAAAACATAGGGAGAATCCTACATTACATCTATATATATAAAAGAAAGTCCCCTCACCGTAAAATCAACACCCAGGTCAAACCCCTGGACCTAGAAACACCAAATTCGGGGAGAGAGCTCCTACCATGATGTAGGTGCTCACTAAGAAGGGATTTTTAGAAATTCGACCCCTAAGGGGGTCAAAAGGGGTCAAATGTGCTCCCCCCATTGATTCCTATGCAGTTGCCAGGCTGCTGCCTCCTTGAACCCCCCACTCTCTGATTGGTCAGCTGCAGAGCTCAGTGTTCTGAGGTAAAAAAACCCCAACACTTACAGGAGACTGCACAGAGCTAATGACAGTTGAGGAAATCAGGAAGAGCCAACAATCACCTGTGAGGTCCAGTAATGCTGCTGACCCAGCCTCTCTGATGGCTTCCAACACACTCCCCCCACCTCCTACACTTGACAGGCGGTTGTCTGTCAGGTGCAGCAGCGGTTACAGCGTGCTTAAAGCCCTGAGGGAGCCCCACCCCAGCAGTAACACCTTAGGGATCCTGCCGGACCAGCCTCCATAGTGGCTTCTAATACTCCCCCTCCCCTCCTACAGGCAGCTGCCTGTCAGGTGTTGGAGAGGAGGTGGGATGCTTACAGCTGCCAGGGAGGTTTGCTCAGCAGGACTGCTTTAGCCCTGCTGCTGACCCAGCCTCTCCGATGCCTTTAAATACAATCCCTCCCAACACCAGACAGGCAGGTGTCTGTCAGGTGAAGGAGCAGGACCAGGGTACTTTAATCCATCAGGGACACCACCCCAGCAGGATCACCTTAGTGATGCTGCTGGCCCAGTCTCTCTGATGGCTTCCAACATACTCCCCCCACCTCCTACACCTAACAGGCGGTTATCTGTCAGGTGCAGCAGTGGGTGCAGCGTGTTTAAAGCCACGAGGGAGCCCGCCTCAGCAGTAACACCTTAGTGATCCTGCCAGCCCAGCCTCCACAGTGGCTTCTAGTACTCCTCCCCCCTCCCCCCCTACACTGGACAAGCAGCTGCCTGTCAGGTGTAGGAGAGGAGGTGGGATACTTACAGCCGCCGGGGAGGTTTGCTCAGCAGGATTGCCTTAGCCCTGCTGCTGGCCCAGCCTCTCCAATGCCTTTAAATACAATCCCCCCCCAACACCAAACAGGTGGGTATCTGTCAGGTATAAAAGCAGGGCCAGAGTACTTTAATCCTTCAGGGATGCCACCCCAGCAGGATCACCTTAGCGATGCTGCTGGCCTAGTCTCTCTAATGGCTTCCAACACACTCTCTCCACCTCCTACACCTAACAGGCAGTTGTCTGTCAGGTGCAGCAGCAGTCGCAGGGTGCTTAAAGCCACGAGGGAGCCCACCCCAGCAGTAACGCCTTAGTGATCCTGCCAGCCCCGCCTACACAGTAGCTTCTAATACTCCCCCCTGTTCCGCTCCTACACTGGACAGGCAGCTGCCAGGAGGAAGCAACTTAGGAATGCGGCAAAGACATTTGCACATAGTACTCCTGCGGGGCACTGAGCTGCGCAGGCCAAGTACCAGCAAGATCACCCTGAGGTGCTCAGAACAACACAGTCTCCATATGAGCAAAACAATCCAGGGACCCAAGTAGAGAGGCCATCACTTTCGTGGAAGGTGGCAGGAACTGACTTAACAGGTTATTCTTCTTAAATGGACAGTTCTATGTGGCCAGGGCCGGCGCGCCCACTAGGCGAACTAGGCGCTCGCCTAGGGCGCGCCGGCCCTCAGGGGCACCAAACTGCGCCCCCAAAAGCCCGCTGCCGCCGCCACCCTAACTGGGTGATCGCCGCCGCCGCCATGGCGGCTGGTAAGGAGCAGAGGCAGGAAGCGCTGGGAGGTTGTGCCCTCTGGCCCCCGCGGAAGTTGAGCCCCCCCCCCGCACCAGAGAAAAGAAAGGCGGCTGGGATCGGGTCTCTGCCCACCCGCCCCTCTCTCTCTCTCTCTCCCCCTGTGTCAAGGGAGGGAAGCAGGGGAGGGAGGGAGGAAGGAACGCAGCGAGGAGGCAGAGGGCGGCATGGGGGGCAGGGGCGCTCCTCTTCCTCCTCCTCCTCAGCATTGGGCACAGTTCAGTGCAGCCCCGGCAGCGGCGCCAGGCGTGGGAGCTGCTGCGGCAGCCACCCGGCATAGACTGGCGATCCAGGGCCTGCTGCGCTGCACCCGGCTAGCGCTCCAGCGGGCCAGCTGCCCTGGCATGGCTGTTGCTACCGCCGCCTCCTTCTCCTCTGCTGCCGCCGCTTGGCTCAGCTCAGCAGCAGCAGCCGGGGCTCTGGAGACGCTGGCCCCAGGTGGGCAGGCAGGCACTGGCACTTGGGGGGGCGGGGGAGGGACCGGCGGCAGCGGAGGGACCAGAGGGATCGATCAGATTGAATTTCTACCCCGCCCTCCCCGCCGAGGCAGGCCCTGGCTGGGACCTTGAAGCTGTGGCGTTTGGTGAGCAAAAATCCTATTTTGTGAGCTGCTGAAATTAAAGTTCTGAGCAGGCGATTTGGCTGCTGAATGAATTAGTTTGCTCTGGAGCCGTCCTTCCAGAGTGGAGGCACGCCTCCCCCCAGAAGTGTGGCCCCTCCCCCCACACAATTAAGGTCGCTGTTCCCCCCCAAGGGAGAAGCTGGGAGAAGCCCGCGCGGTCGCCTGCACGCCAAGCCAGGGGTTCGCAGCTTGGAGTGCACTGGAGGAGCAGGGCAGGCAGCCCAGTGGGCGGAGGGGGCGGTCCCAAGGAGGAGGGCTTCCATCTCTCCAGGCCCCACCTGGAGGTTGGCAACCACGTACTTGGGTGCACGGGGGGGGGGCGCTAGAAGGTAGTCCTGCCTAGGGTGCAAAAAACCCTCGGGCCAGCCCTGTATGTGGCCTGCTCCAGAGAGAGGTCACCAAGCAGCCTGGTGATCCTAGCACCTGAGGGCAGAACCACCAATGTGGTCTACAGAAAGGTCCTTCGGTAGAGAGAGAAAAAGTACGTATGTCTCACTTCATTTTTTATACTACAATCTTCTCCACTAGAATTCCTACAACAAATATCACATTTCAAACTTCACATCATCGATATTATAACTGGATTTACAGAAATACCGTAGCGAAGCACGGATATCAAGCTAGTCTGACTATACAACACTCAAATCCTTTCCACTATTATTAATCTTAAACAGACTAACAAAAGCTGAACAGCTTCAGGAGAGATAGTGGTAAAGAAGCATACTGGATTGACCTAAAACTCTTGTCATTTCTTACATCCATGAATGTGAGGAAATGGTATATGCATTCTGTGTAAAATACACAGAGAACGGTTCATGTTTGTAGTAGTCCAGGATGCTATACATAAAATGTGAACTTTGCACTGCAAAAAACCTGAGGTACGTGTTAGTATTTAAGAATTGTGGTTTCTGTATTTAAGAACTTGGGATAAACTATCTGCACTTACTCTCTTTTACTCTGTATAGCAAGAATTGCATGCATTTTAGTGGTACATGTTCCTCACTTCCTCTGTATCATTGAAGGTATGAATAACACTGCCATATACTACTTGCATATACCATTTCCATTATTTCTTTTGTTACCTTATAGTTTCCTGGTCTTGTTTTATTTGTAATGAATATATGAAATTGGACACTTTATTCTACTCACTTGTGGTATGACATGGATTTCCATCCGACATGGTCCTTCTGTGCCCCAAAATTCTCACTTTGGAGGAAGAGACATTTGTTGTACATTGGGATTCCTTTTTCAGAAGATGGCTGGGACATGGCAAGTTAGAATCAGTGGCAGGAACAACTCTGGCAATATGTTCTTTTCTATTCACAGGGCTTTCAGCCACCAAACATTTAATAGGACCATCTCTGTCACTGGGCAGTGATGTCCTTGCAGTAATATCTTCACTGCCAGACTGGAGAAGGCATTTTGTGGAAGCAGAAGACAAAGACAGAAGATCCACAGTGCTTGCAGATGGGCTTAATGAAGGAATGTGTATCTCCTCTTTTTTGGACTGCAACCTTACAGGGCTTGCACTTCGACGAAACTTGGAAGCTCGCTGAAACAGTCCATCACGCTTCTTCTTTTCTTCCTTAGCCAACCCTTCCTCTGGAGCCTGCAACCTATTCAGCTCTCTGATATCCGAGCCCAGAGCTACAGATGCAAGCAGGACAGTACATCCATATAATACAGAGTCAGTTTTCTTCTTCTGCAATGTTCTACTGAGACTGTTTGTGGGTGTCATTTGTGGAGTGCTATTTGTGGAACTGGCTGAATTTCCTTCTTCAAAGCTCTCCTGTTCTACAGAATTTAATCCTTTTTCATCCTTCCCAAGAGGTAGATCAATATAGGCCTTCCCAAGAGGTAGATCAATATAGGCCTGATTTGGCAATTTTAATTGTTTTGGCCGCTTGGCGTCCAGGCCTTCAGGGGAAAGCTTCTGTTCTGTAGATGAAACATTTGTTTAGATGTTAACTCCAACAATAAATGGAGAAGCTGCCATTTGCCACAAAAACTTTTATGTCAAAAAGCAACTGGAAATCTTAACCAGTCAAAATTAATTAATGACTTTTGATTTAACCACTGAGATCTACTACGATTTTTCTAATAGATCAATAGTAAATTTCTCTGGATTTTTGCATTGGTACTCGTCACTTTGTGATCCCCCCCCCATTTTAATTAACAGCTTTGGAGCTCGATTCCACATCAAATAAAACATGTAATAGCCCCAGGGCCTGACTTTATTCCTCCTGAGCTATTCTTAATGAACCCCGAGTGGTGGGGGCGATATCTAGCTTCTTGTTTCTCATTAATAAATAGCTCGGGTGTAATACCTGAGGACTGGAGATGTTCGATCATTGTGCCTATTCATAAGAAGGGTAGTAGATCAGTCCCACAAAATTACCGCCCTATTAGTCTCCTCTCAATCCCAGGGAAAATTTATGCAGCGCATTTACTTGACAGATTAACAGACTGGATGGAACAAAACTCTTATCTATCTCCGGAACAAACGGGCTTTAGGAGAGGGTCTTCAACT